TGACTGCCTGCTGTCCCTTAGCCACACCAGGCCTGGACCTGCCACAGGGCCTTTGCATTTGTTTTTGCCACTCCCTAGACTGATCCCAGGATCTCTGGATGCTGCACTCCCTCGATTCTGCCAAGTCTCTGCTCAAGTGACAGAGACACCTTCCCTTTTAATTCCATTATTAAATAGCAAATCCACTCCTGCCCACCAATATGCCGCTTCCTTACCTGGCTTTTAAAAAATGGCCTCAATGGCATTTATTCTACCCAGCTTTATATTAATATATACTTGTTTATCATCTGCCATCACTACTATAAAATCAATAAGAAGGTGATACTTTATTCATTTTGTTCACTATAGAATCCCCAGTGCCTAGAACAGTGTTTGGTACCTAGTAGACCCTTAAAAACATTTGCTGAATGAATAAGAATTAATGGACATGCCAGCATGAGAATTAGATGCAATAATGCATGTAAGATGTTTAGAAAAGTTACTGGTAAATACAACTTTTCAAAAGGAATAACGTGCCTCCAAAAGCTAAACATAGAATCACTATATGACCCAGCGATTCTACTCCCATATAACAACAAGGACTGAAAGCAGGGATTTGAACAGACACTTGTACATCAGTGTTCACGGCAGCATTACTCGCAATAGCCAAAAGGTGGAAACAGCTGAAGTGCCCATCCACAGATGAATGGATAAGCAAAATGTGGCATATACATAAAGTGGGCATTACTCAGCCATGAAAAGGAATGGCGTTCTGATATATGCCACAACATAGAGGCGCCTTGAAAACATGCTAAGTGTCAGGCACAAATATATATGGTGCACTCTGTGAAGTACCTAGAATAGATTTGAAGAAATAGAAAATAGATTGGAGGTTACCAGGGACCAGGGACCGGGGGCAGAGTACCTTCTATTTGGAATGTCAAAAAAGCTCTGGAAATACTCGCACAACACTGTGAATATAATTAGTACCACTGAATCGTATACTTAAAATTTATTAAAATAGCAAATTTTGTTACATATATTATTACCATGATGAAAACAAATAATAATGTAATACATCAAAACACATTAGGCCAGGCGCAGTGGCTCACACCTGTAATCCCAGAGCACTTTGGGAGGCTAAGGCAGGCGGATCACTTGAGTCCGGGAGTTCGAGACCGTCGTGCCCAAGAGGGTGAAATCCCATCTCTACTAAAAATACAAAAATTAGCCCAGCGTGGTGGTGTGTGCCTGTAGTCCCAGCTACTTGGGAGGCTGAGGAAAGAGAATTACTGGAACCCAGGAGGCGGAGGCTGCAGTTAGCAGAGATCGCACCACTGCACTCCAGCCTGGGCAACAGAATGAGACTCTGCTTCAAAAAAACTCCCACAAAACAAAAAAACAAAAACATAAAAACCCATGTTAAATGTGCACTTCAGGTGGGTTAAACTGTATGGTATGTGAGTTATCTCACAATAAAACTGTTAAAAAATAAATGAGGAAATAAAGAGGTTTTAAAAAAACCATTAAACAATAGTTATCGACTTTCTCCCCACTATCTTTTTCTTTTAAAAGATATTTTATACTTACTAAAGTTTTCATTTTGAAGATCCCTTTGAGCTTTATATAAATAAACTGAAAAAACAAACAACTATATCTCATGCTCCTAAGATGAGTTCATTCAGTCAGAGTTGTTGGTATCTTGGCTCAAACTTTCACAGGGAGCTTGGGGTGACAAAATTATGGAAGTCGGCTTCTCTGCATCTGCTAGTATGCTGGTCCTAAGGCCATCTGCAGACAGCCATTTCCAGGCCCTCAGGGTTCCTCACTATCTGGAGCCTGGTGGTCAGCTCACAGCTCTGCAGTCCAAAGACAACTGCACATCTGTGTCCTTACACTGTCATCTCCTCTTACCCTCCAAAGCCCCACAGGCATGATCAGCCCAGACAAGTGTGGACAAAACACACC